TCTGATTCAAAAAGTAATTAAATATTTCAGCTTATGACGAACAAAACTTATACAATGGACAGATCTGGGTGAGTACAATGAAATTACATTTGATAATTTGGTTACTAATGCAATCAACTACAGCAACATCTTTTAAAAATAATTAGAGATGTAGAAGCAGGAGCAGTTTATTTAACTGCATCAACTTTTTGATCACGTCTGTCTGCACGCAAGAAACCTTTGAAATGGTGGCAATTTAAATGAAACATTGACAACAACAATCGCTCAAATGTTGATGGATGATGTCATTAGACTTATAGAGCGCCAATCGATCATATTTTGCTGATGTTTCAAGCGTTGTGACTCTCGTGAGGTGAGGAGTGCGTCCATCAGTCTGCATGAACTGTCGCTCGCAAGTAATGCTTGTTGCAATGTTGTTGCAAGTTGCTGTTTTTTAGTGGACTGTTGTTGACGTTTGAAAATGTTGTTGTAGAAGAGATGTTTATATGTGGTTGTTGTAGGTATGTAAATGTTTTTGTTGTGTTATTGATGCTCTATATTTTTATGTTGATAGCGTTCTTACTGCATATATTATCAAATGTTTTTGTCTTATTTGTTATGTTGCTAATGTTGATCTTACGTTCAAGTGACATGTGCCAATGTTTTTGTTGTCATGTGTTTTGTTGCTCTTTTTAAAAATAGCAAAACAGTGTAGTAACTAAGTATCTGGAAAAATAAATTTGCGTTTCTGTGTTAAAATGCTTGTCAAGAACTCTCTACGTGTATCCATTGCACAATATAATCATTGTGTGTGGGTGTGCTGTACAATGGTACTCATACGTCTATGTGCTGTGCAATACAATTAGTAATGCAATGCAATGTAATACAATACAATTTGTAACGCTCAGCATTTTGTCGCGTTGTTTATTTTATCTGCATCAAATTTGATATCTTCTTTGGTTATAAATTTTATTCCCCAATGAAGCAAGCGCGGTTGTCTTCGAGATTCTCAAGTTTATTTCTGCTACGAACAAATAATTTTGTCGGAATGAATTTGTTTTGTCGGACGGTTTATTCAATTATTGCAGCATTTATCACTTAAAGTTGATGTGGTTTGCTTTTTGTTAATTTTGTCCGTCCCATGAAACGTTGTTGATGTGATTGTCTATAATAACATTGATGTGATTAATTACAGGATATGCTTAATGCGGTACATTTTGATGATTAACTACAGTACAAAAGTAACGTCGAGTCCTATTCAAACAAGCAACATTTGCCTTCATTGCTATTGATTGCAAAGTCATTCTTGTTGTCCGTGTTGTTGTTTGTGTTGTTGTTGTTAGCGATCTTGCTTGTGTAGTTGTTGTTTGTGACGTTGTTTGCGTTGTTGTTTGTGTGTGATGTTGTTTGTGTGTGATGTTGTTTGTGTTGTTGTTTGTGATATAAATTGTGTGTGATGTTGTTTGTGTTGTTGTTTGTGTGTGATGTTGTTTGTATTGTTGTGCGTGTTATTGGTCTTGATGTTCAAAGGTTTTCTGCCATTTTGTTTCGCTCTAGTGTTGAAGTTGCTTTTGTGTTGTTGACGTCCGTTTTGTGGTTGAGAATGATGATGCTGTCGTCATTAATTTGGATTTTGTTGTTGCGAATACCGTAACTTTTTTTATATTGAAGCGCTATATAAAAATGGTTTTTCTTGAAGGATCTGAAAAATAAAAAAAAACTTTTGTCATGTTATTTATCAGGCCCGGGTGATTCCAGTTTCAACAAATTTTTTATTATACTAATTTTTTGCCTGCCAACATTTTAAACGTAGTGCAGATGCTGTTGAAACACTAATCTGCTGCTTGTACATCTCTATGGTGATGTTTTTAAAATTTTAATCACATTTCAGTGCACTACTCAAATTAATATAGTTGTTTGAGCCACAAAACACAAATAAACACATTATATATATGTATATATATATATATATATATATATATATATATATACACACACACAAATACATATATGATCTAAGTAGTCTACAGAATTAAATAATAAACTTGATGGTAATCCGGTAAATGGTTTCAAATAAGTTTCTCCTTATTGTGACATGCCTTAAATGTTAATACCCACCAGTGAAAAAATTATTACACTGAAATAGTTTGGAGCAAATTGAACGTAAGACAAGTCAGCGATGTTGATTGCAAGCAACGTTCATCAACGCTCCAACTTATCTCAGGTACACGCCAAATTAGTGCTGGCTGATTAACATGTGATTGATACTTCTAAGGATGGCATTGGCATTAATGAATAAATAATCAATTAATTGGACCTACCATTATTCATTCGTTCATTGTTTTTGTTGTGTGCTTATGCACGTGTGGGTTTATGTACACATGCGCTTAAGTACGTGTGGATTAATGCACGTGTGTGTTTATGTGCGTGTGTGTTTATGTACATGCATTTTTTATTGAATGACCACTCAGTTGTTTTTGGCACAATTTGAGATATTTGAAAATGAGCAATAGAAATATTTAAATGTGTGAAACATTTTACATGCTAAAATAAACATCAGTCATGTTATCAAAGATACATTAAAATTGAAAAGTGATTAAATTTATTAAAATTCAATGCAGTCAGTTTTCGTTAAAATCAATTTAACTACCTTTTTCAAAATTAACAATTACTTAAACTGCTTGGCCACCTCAGATTATTTATGAAGGCTTTCATAATTTACAAGTCTCCATCGATAAATGCAGGTGTGCATCTATTAATACCTGCTGTAGAACAACTATCTAATTAATCAATCAGTGGTGTATGAAAGGCTGCGAAGTGCACATCGCAGTTGTATTTACAAATATGCTTGTGTACACTGTGCGTACATTTACTTATCACATATGTCTGTATGTACTGTGCTCTATACACATTAAGTTTGCACATATATTTCTATGTATTGTGTGCAAACGCACATGTGGTATGGGTATGTCTGTATGTATGTCTATACGTTGTATCTACCCACCCATATTGTTATGTATATATATATGTAGTACATTTTATTTACACATTCATGATATAAATACGCCTTCTTTCTTATAATAATAACGTCACTTAATGAAACGCGCTGGCAAGCGACTGAAGTGCCCTCGAAACAGAATATCCTTAGTCGAATGTTTAAGAAGCTCTGGTATAATACGTGAATGACTTACATTGATGTGTGAGCTGAGAAGCTGAGAGTTGATGAGTTAAATATGAGTGAATTTTTGTTGAAATCAGAGAAACAGTTCTGGATTTTTTGCTTTGTTTATTGCTTTTTCTTAATCAGGGTTGATGAAAATTTAAAATATGTCAAATGTATATATGTAGAGATCTTTGATGGTTGGAAAAGTGATCGAAAAAATGAATTTCCGAATTGAAAAATGAATAAATAAATAAATGCAAATGAATGAACGAATTGAAAGTTAAATCAGATCAGTGGATGGTTAAATGAACATACAAGAAAAATACTAACAAATGAACAGGTATGTGGGAATGTAATTAGATACATGTTAGATTAAAATGTTCCTTTTTTTAATTTTGAAGATTCGTCATCAAATCTAAACCCGTCTTCTTTCAATTTATTTGTCACTTTTATAATTAAACCATGGAATGTTTATTAGCAAACATAACAAGTAGGCCAGTTGGTCAAACAAGTGCACGCTGCAGACTCATATATAGATCCAATAAAAAATGTTGTTTGCAGACCTTACTTTGTTATTCTTCCTCATCAGAGAAGTTTGTAAGCAGACGACTGACACGCAAATAGCGGGTCCAAATTAAATTGCAGACGTTTATTTGTCATCCTGTTTTTGTTTTTGTCATTCAGTATTAATCAAAAGGCTGGTTTCGTGTTATACAAGTTTCTTTTCCATATTTAATTCATGTAGTTTTTTATGGATTTTGTTATAAAGTAAATAATGAAAACTGAAAACGGGTTTGTTAAAATAATGTCGGAAAATGATTATTATACACATAGTTTGCGAGAGTGTTTTGGCTTATATCTAATCTACGAGAACTGTGATCAGTTTTTTTTTATAGTTGCTAATAAAATTCCGAGAAGAAATGTACTCCAAATGTTAATTTGTTAGAATGTAATCATGAAACATTGATACGTTGCAATGTAATCATGACGCATTCATACAAGTACCATCAAAGATGGAATATCAAAAGTTACATTTATCCGAGGAGTGTTTTTACATCCGCAGAAACGTGTGGATGGGCAGATGCATCATTAAAGGAAGGCCTAATTGAAATGATGACGATAATGACGATAATGATGACGACGATGGTGACGATGATGATGACGATGGTGGTGACGATGATGATGACGATGGTGGTGACGATGATGATGACGATGGTGGTGACGATGATGATGACGATGGTGGTGACGATGATGATGACGATGGTGGTGACGATGATGATGACGATGGTGGTGACGATGATGATGACGATGGTGGTGACGATGATGATGACGATGGTGGTGACGATGATGATGACGATGGTGGTGACGATGATGATGACGATGGTGGTGACGATGATGATGACGATGGTGGTGGCACGTAGTGTAAAATCTTCATGATATGGTTGGAACAATCGCACGACAGGCCAGATAAGCGAGTTTATAATTTTCATTGCAGACAGCCTCCAATCATGCAGACAAGCAGGCACTCCTACTGAAACATTCTTTCGTTTGTTCGTTCTTACAATGTTCCCATTGGAGTTTTTCCTACCTTTTAAACTAAAAAATTGATTTTAGAAAATAATTGAACAAACTTCCTTATTCATAAATTTAAAATGAATTGTTGTTATAGATTAAAAAGCCGATTTAGCAAAATGTTTTATGACGCATTGTAAAAAGTCAAACAAACAATTAATTTCATTTAATTTAATTACGCAAATAAAAAGAATAAAATAGAATAAAAGTACATAAAAGATTCCTGCACTGCCGCCTTCCATTCAACACCTTCGTTATTGGCAATATCTTTTTATTATTGGACGCCTCAACGTTCGCCGACCATTTTGTCGTTGATGTCGTTAAGGTTGTGACTGTTGTTGATGTTGTTGTTGTTGTTGTTGATGCTGTTGATGTTGTTGTTGATGATGTTGTTGTTGTTGTTGATGTTGTTGTTGATGCTGCTGATGTTGTTGTTGATGCTGACGTTATTGTCGTTGTGTACTGTAGCTTTATTGCTGTTAAACATACATAACAGACAGCCTTTCCTGGTATAATTGTTCTTTTTCTTGATGCTTTTGATAAGACGGTTTAGATAAAATTTATTTGTCAAGTATTTATCTCACAATTTCCCAACATATTTATTTATTTAGTTATTAGAAGACTTAGTTTTATATGTCGAATAAAAATCTACGGTTAAAAAAGTGCCGCACCTTTTCATGACGTATCCAGAGAATGAAATGACAGAATGAATGAAAGTTTTGAAGATATCACCCGAGTAGTAAGAGGAAGAGGCACGGCTTAATGAAATTTGCATCAAAGAACAAATTCAACACCTCTGCGTTCCCACATTTGCACACGCACCGCGCATGCATTATAGATTATCCCATTCTTCTTAAATATTAAACTTACATTATCTCTGCGTCTAGGCACAAACGTCAGAAAATAAACTTGTTGAAAGTTAAATAATACATGTACGGTTTTTTCAATAGCTTAAGTTAATTTTATTTTGAAAAATATAAAATTTATTTATTTGGTAAGTTAAGCTTGGACATTCCGCAACATGTGTTTCTTCAGCATTCAATTGAAGATCTGTTTGTCTTACTCACGACTAGCTCTTTACAGACTTCCTGTAGGTACATGCCACGTAAAAGTTACAAACCTGAAACCAACCCCTGACTGTTTTGAATAAAATTCATTACATACGTGACAACTGTTGATCCATGCAAATCACAAAATTGTATAACTCTAATTAATGCAAATCACATCCATATAACTATGGAGGAAACAATGTTATGTGGCGATTGCCATTTATTTAAATGTTTAATTTAACTTTTACACCTCAACTTCACGACAATGATGAAACTAAACTAAAATCTAAAAATAAGGATTAACAATCTTAAACAGTATCTCAACAAAATCTATCAATCATATCGACTCATATTTGCACAATGCGTGAAATATCCTGATACCCTGATATCTGTCCAGTCCACACATTAATTCATAATTGCTAACGTCAGAAATGAGATGCATTGGTGAAATATTTTGATGTGATGGAGCATGTGCTGTTGTTGTTGTTGTTGCTACAGCTGGGATTTGCCACAAGATATTTATGAGGGCTATTTGATACAACTAAACACACTTCAAACACAAATCATTATTATTTTTACTAAATTATGCTTATTATTATTGTTGTTGTTGCTGCTGTTGTTGTTGTTGCTGTGTTTCTGGTATGATTTACAATTTCGTATCAATAGTGATGTTATTGACCGATGCAAATGATTAATAATCGTTATAAGTATCATTTTTGTTAGTCATACAAATAAATATCTTATCTACTGTATTATTATTATTATTATTTTCTTCTTATTATTTTTTTCGTAATTAATGTGAATATACTTTTATTGTGTAGCATTGTATCAAACATTTATTATATTTAATATTAATATATTAATTAATTTAAATGAAATTCTTATTGGAGAAATCAATTCAAAAGTTGTCTATGGCATTTTTTCGCCAACTTTTGCAAACTTGCTAAACATCTTTAGCATACAAAAAATAATCAACACACACACACACACACATACACACACACACACACACACACACATACACAGACGTATATATATATATACATACATATACATAGATACATACATACATATACGTAAATAAATATTTCAAGGCATTGATAGACTAACATTTGCAATGATGATTTATCTCGGCAATAAATATTGATGGATGATATGGATAGTGATAATAAAGTCGGCCATGATGATATCTATCATTGCGATCATGATAATGACATGATCAATTGATGAATGATACGAATACTAATACTGAGTTGATTGTATTGTATTGTATTGCATCATTATTGTTTCTCTAGATCTAGTTTCATAGCCAGGTCTTTTAACGATGGAGATACTAACAATAATAACGCTGTGAATATACGATGAGAATACAAAATTATTACTGTAATTAAGGATGTATCGTTATGTATCATTTATGTATCATTAATGTTTCATTAATGTATCATTACTTTTGCTGTGATAGTTATAACGATGTTAGTAACTAGAACAGCGATAATGATGCTACTTTTTTTGGTGATAATTGTCTTTCTTATTGCATATCATCATGAATTTTTCATGCTGATTCAAAAATTAGAAATTTTAAATGTGTCTTCCTGCTCCATTTGTTCTGAAGATGTTTTAAAGTTGGCTATGTTTTTTTTTTAATTTTTCTATATACTAGGCAGGTTTTTATATTTTTTGTCATGATTTTGAATTTTAAACTTAACATTGAATATGTATTTTTAAACTAATTTAAAAGTTCTTATTTTGACATTATAAAGACACAAAATACTTCATTTAAAACTTATAAAATCACTCAACAACTGAGTATTCCATTATAAAGAGTCATTAAATTAACTTTGCATCATAAGCCCAATTTAACACAAATCCATTCAATGCCATTTTCGATGTTGCTTCAAGATATGAAACACATTCACTTGCATATCTCCCACGTGCCATACCTTCGACGCACGCGGTTATCATGCAACGTATCCGTGCTACCGATCCGGATTTGATCCCACAGCAATTGTGCCAATCCTTCTTCTCCACGAAATCTGTTGATTTTTTTTTAAATTAACTTTTCTAGTTTTTTCTTCCTTGAATGGGAATAATTTCTTTCTGAAATAAGATTCAGAGGAATTTTTATTGCTGCAGATGATGAACTATGAACTCGTGACCTTTTGAACCGAGGCCACGTTCTAGATGTTATGATTATTTTTTTTTTCACGAAGATGAAAATATTTTATTCATAAATTTTTTTCATTCGCAAATAATAATTCTAGCTGCCAAATTTTTATCATGCATTTAATAAAGACAACACACATATAAGATATGATGGGGTATGGAAGTTTGAAACGAAACAAAACAAAATTATATTTGCTTCTAAATCAAAAAAAAAATTTATTAATAATAATAATAAAACGGGATGACCACAATAGAATTCGTAAATAAATTCATCGAGTATGACTACCAAGCAGAAGATGCTACAGAGATGAGGCTGATGATGAAGATGAGTATTTATTTGATATGCTACTAGCTTTCAAATTTCAAACGACAGCATTAAGATTCCACCATAAGAACACCAGGTTTGCAAAAACGAATATCAATCGAAACGCTCTTTATAATTGCTATTGGTAAACATAGATTAGTTCGGCAAACTGGAGTGTAAACGTTGACACACACACACATGGGTGTGTTTATGTGTGTGCGTGTGCGTGCGTATGTGTATGTGGCGTGTGAATGATGATTCACGTATAGTTCCATGTTCTCCGTCATTTTAAGATATTTCCCATCATTTACAAAAAGATGTTTATGCAAATATCCATTGCGGTTGTTTCAACACAAAAACTTATTTTTTTTAATGTCAGGCATTACAATTTCCCCCTCAAACATTCCACCATTGCCGCCCGCCATGTTTTTCATTTCTCTCCTTTTTTATCGTCCAATTTCGAAAGCGCATTTAAGAAGCCATCATTTTATAACTCATTCGGGTAATCAAAGATCATTTTTTTTATTTAACATTCTTTGTTCCTCTTTGTTTATTTTTCTTTCTTTGTTCTTCTTTGCATCATCTTTCAACCGAACGCGCATAAACCTTTTTGCTTATTTGCAAACATTTAGGCACGAACATAAACGAACAAAACTGCACAGGCGGAGACTGACAGACAGACAGACAGACACCAATACAGACAGAAAGTTATACAAATAATTATCTACTATTACAAACAAGCACATAAACGCAGACATTTACAGATCTAGATTTATTTCTGCAATGCATTCTTTTGTTGGTTTTCTTATAAATACTGTATAAGTGTAGTATCGACGATCATAAAACAATTGCAGCAGTTAGGAAGAATATCATTGTTAGCGTGTAAGTGCGTCTTTGCAGTGGTGTGGTGTGGTGCCGTGTGGTCTTGTGCCTCAGCCACATGAATGTTTGTATTGTATCTATTGGGAATTTTCTAACAATTTCTTATCGCATCGGCTTATCAGATTGGTTTGATAATGCGGTTTTATATAGGAGATGAATAGATGGATTGTGGCGAATTGTGGCCTTATAGTAGTAGTATTAGTAGTGGGACAAAATTAAATGACTATTTTTAACTTTTATTTTATGTTTTATTGTTGGTTACATTAATTTTCTTGTTATTATTATGATTTTTTAAGTTTTTTCACGAGAGAAAGCATATGTGGGAACATTTTATATTTAATCCAAGATTAGATGAATCTTATTTTCCAGTTTCGTTGTATATTGTTGTTCTTTGTGTTGTTCTATGTCGTTGTGTGTTGCGGTTTGTTGTTGAATGTTGTTGTATTTGGTTTTGTGTTGTTGTACAATTCGCTACTGATGTTATTGTGGTTGTGGTTGATGTCTTTGCATCATTGTTGCTGATGTTATTGTGGTTGTGGTTGATGTCTTTGTATCGTTGTAGCTGATGTGATTGTCGTTGTGGTTGATATCTTTGTATCATTGTTGCTGATGTGATTGTTGTTGTGGTATATCATTTGCGCTATATGTTTTATGTTTTTATAAGCTGGTGGTTTAATGCGGTCGCTGTCCAGGCTTGTTAAAATTTTATAATTCAGGTAAATGCCCTCAAATTTATTGATTAATTAATTAATTCATTTATTCGTTCATTCATTCACTCATCCATTCATCCATTCATTCAATTGTTTGTTTGTTCGTTCGTTCGTTCGTTCATTCATTCATTCATTTATTCATTCATTCATCCATTCATTTATTCATCACAATGTTCTCATGCATCTTCTTTAAAAATAATAATAACAATATTTGCTATGAAAGACTAACCTAGCAGATGCATTTTTAGAGAACTTTTTGTCCTTTCTCAAAAATTTATATTCAGCAATTTTGTTGTCTTTTAGTTATAATTAACGATGATAAAATTTTTCTGTTTTGAAGATTGAGTGTGGAAATAGAATTTTTACAAAAGCATATTTTTTAAAATAAATTTTTCGAAATTGTTTTCAGTTTTTTGACCGAAAGTTAAGAAAAAAATGTGTAGAACATTTGAACTTGCCTTATTGGGCACATGTAAGTATAGAAAACATATGAAAAAAGTTGAAATGTTAGAAAATTGAAAGTTTTTTGATAGGTACCTTATTCCAAATAATTCGCATAAGGGCTTATATGATAAACGTACGAAAAATTTACACGTCTACTCAGTGAATGTGAACCTACAGAAGTAACAAAATGGTGCTCTTTCAAATCATAAATAACTTAAACGAAAAATAGAAAACGGATGATATATTAAGATAGTCAATGAATGCGGTTAATTTTTGACTAAAAATAAATTCTACTTCTCATCTCATACATAGTAACGTGAGGCTGTGAATTAAATTGATGTGCATGTTGGAATGAAGATTGGTGATGGGAGCTGCTTATGAATGGAAGTTGTCATTCTCTGACGTGAAAAGAGTAGGAAAAGATTTATTGGGCAACGTTTCAAAGCTAATTTTATGAATTTTAAAAATATTTATTCTTGATCCGATAATAGTTTTTGCAAGTTATAATGTTCATGAAATGTTTCTAACTATTTCTAACTTTTAAACATGTGAAATATTAATGAATTTTCTTTACTTTTCCAAAAACAAATTAATAATTTTTTATAACAAATAATTGTGAAACTGAGTAAAAATAATGTCGTCAGAGCTAATTATAAGAAAACATTGCACGTTGTGAATTCCCGTTAATACAAGCGGTGATATATTTATATGAACCCCAAAAAGCACTTTCAGTTGAATAATTTAAAGAAGAAATTGAATACCGAACGAAAACTATTTCCAAGAAGTATTTTTAAATTTTTGTTTTTAATGTACCATTTTTGACATAAATTACAAAAGAATAAAATTTTTAAATGGCAATAAACTGTCCGCAAACAGAAAACGGAATGTCGTAAAGATGCAGGGGATAATTTTGAAGTTGCTCGTTTGGGAGCGTTTCAAAGCGCTCGCACGTGATTGTGGCCACGAAGTGCTTGCAATGCTCTCTCTAAAAAATGTTCATAAATTTTGTATTTTCTGCTCTTAATTATTTTTTATACTCTTACCAACGCAGCCCGCAGTTCAGCATAAATTTTGAATAAAGATCAAACGAGCAACTCAGTGGACAGAGATTGAAAGAGATTTGAAATACAGCATGGTTTCACTTTATTTTCTAGTGCCTGAAATGCGTTAGTAACAACAAATGCAATCATACACAAAATGATGAACCAGTAAATAAGTGAAAATAAGCATGCATTGATATTTATATATTAGATAAAGCTCAAGTCATTTCAGTTAATGTCTGAAATATTCGAAAGCAAAATAATTAAGTTATGCAAACCAACATCAAGTCGGTACGTCAAATGAACAGATAAAAACAAACAACTTTTGTATAAAAAAGCCGAGGTAAAAATAAATTTTACCACTTGCAATGAACTTTTGCTGGAAGGTTCCAAATTTAGATGGGCAAGAAGAATTTAAATTGGAGAACAAATCTCAACATAAAGTGGTAGTCACAAAAGAAAAGATCATTTGATATAATGAATGTTTTAATCTAACTAACTGATCTTCTGTCCAAATTGAATTGTTAGCATTAACTGTTAGCCATGAAAACAAAACTAAACATTAAACAAAATTTTCGTTGTTAATAAAAACTAAAAAAAGGTAATTTTTGTTTAAATTTTCCATGAAAACAAAACTAAACATTAAACAAAATTTTCGTTGTTAATAAAAACTAAAAAAAGGTAATTTTTGTTTAAATTTTTCATAAATGTTCAATTAAAAAGTTATTACGCAAATTATAGTCCTTATTTCAGTTCTTATTTATGTTTTTCATCGTTAAAAAAATTGTTTCAAATTAGAAAATAATTGACGCTCACAACATTTTAGCAAAATGCTGCGAACAAAATGAGTTTTTAAAGAAGTTATAAAAATAGCTCTTCAACACAAAACTGACATGACAAGCACGACATATGTAATCCACGTCAAAAATTTGCACAACTTGAACTTTAAAGTTCTCCAAATTGTCGTCAGCATTCGCCAAGTTTCATGTGCATGCATGTTTGTTGTGCTCGCTTTCAACTGTTCTAACCGTAAATTACACATAATTACATACGTCAAATTACTTTATACTGTCGGATTGTAAATCCTAACAAATAAAGCTAACACTCATCAATAATAAATGAAAACACCACGAGCTAACGAAGTGATTTGTGCGGGCTATCTAGGGAGAAACTGCGATATATGGAAATTTGTGCACTAAAAATGCGTTAATAAAGAGAGCAGTTTGAGACATTCCTATCTGTTTGAAATCAATTTTTTCATAATGATTGTAAATATGTGTCATTTAAATTTAGGCGCGAGATTTCGTGAAACGAAATTTTTACATGTATGTAAAATAATTTATTTGGTTTATTTTAATATTTTTTGTTAACCTCAACTTTAAAATTTGTTTAAAGAATGCACAAAACATCTTTTTATAACGTTTGAATCGGAATTCACACAATGCACATTATTATTATCAATTATTTTATAAATAGAAATAATGTGGTTGTTTTATATTTAAACAAATTTAATTTATTTCAGCTAAATCAAATTCAATAATTTAAATTTAAACTTCTAACACAGTCGTGCAATAAAAAAGAATCCAGATGTTTTGGGCGAGACAAGCGTTTGGTCATTATTGAAGAACGACTTCTGGGGAACACCTCTGACCCATAGTGGCTCCCACAAATCATACAGACCTCTCTGCACTTTGACCTTTAGGTTGAACCACAACATCTCGGGTCTCAATCCAATTGGTTTCCATTCGTTCAATATCATCTTGCACTGCCTCACGACAGCCCTCTACGCTAAAACTATAAAAAAATTGATGACGTCGAGTCGATTGACAATGCTGGCCGGGTTGATGTTTGCGTCCCATCCTGTGCACACTGAAGCAGTCAGTGGAATTGTTGGCAGGGCAGATGTTCTTTCTTGTTTCTTCTTCTTGCTCGCGTTCAATTTCTATATAAGGTTTCTATATTAGAATTTTTTAATCAGTGTATCTTTTTCTTAACAATTGCTGAAAATATTTTTTTTAAATAAATTTTTGTTATAATAAAATATGTTGCACAAACTTCAATTTAAATGAACGCAATGTATTTTTTATATAACAGTAAGTAAACATTTGCCCACAAACCCATGTGTCAATTAAAATATCCAACAACACCACTACCCAGTTATTGCCAGACGAGACAGGCAAGGCAAACACGGTGGAAGAACAATGCATCAACCGTCTGCTCATTAAAAGAGTGTATTAGATCGCAAACAAGTACTTACATGTCCAATGGAAATATTGATCAACACCGACTGAGCTCTTCGAACGGTCATCAACCTTATGGCGCCCATCCAGCATGTGCGTGCCTAAGTGGTCATTCGCATGTTTTCTCACGTTCATTATCACTCGTGTTTTCATCATTGCTATTTTATGGTGTTGTTGCTAATATGATGTCGTCTTGTCATAGCTATGTGGTGTTGTTCCGATGTCACATATTTAAGTTTATTTTTGTGAGCACTGGTGCATATGCATGCTTGAAAAACGTACATGCGTGCGATAGATGGTGATCTTTTTCTATTTGAACCTGGTGACAGTCGGGCAGAGCAGGACCCTTAACCACAACAACATTCGGTCGCTGTTCGTTAAGATCATTATATTGTGTCTAATGTTTTACGATGTTATTAATTTTAAAAATATAAATTTTAAACGTAAATTGAAATATTTTTATATTTTAAATAGGAAAACGTTATTTAGAAGTAAAATGGCTATTTAACAATTACTTTATGAATTAGTTTGAACTTTAAATCCACAACTTCCACCATTCGAATGACCTTTTCCAGATTCTCATTCATCAAAAGTCACATCAACTAACGGCAAAAACAACAACAGCAGCAAAAACATTAATAACAACAACAAAAGCATCAGTGATAACAACAGCAACAGCAACAACATCTGCGAAACAAAATCAACAGAGGAGGAAAAGAAGCGAGCCGCGTTCAACGAAACTGCCCATCAATTCATGTACGTAATTTGCACGTTGTTCTCCATGTTAAGCAAGGAACAAGGAGTTACTGTGGTCCCTGTCTGCTTTGCATACGATATTTTTCTACATCAGAAATTAAAATTTTCCCAACTTTTTGCATTTAAAAGGGTTTGCATTGTTTTGTTTCATTGGACACTTTTTTAAAAATTATTTTATCAGTATTTTAACTATACCGATTAAAGTTGTTTAAAATACGTCACGTAATAAAAACCTTATTTTAGTAGGTTGTTAACTTTTCTCAAATCATCTTTCAGAAAAATGTCAACTGGACTTTGATCCGATCCATCCTACTAAATATGCTCACTCTCCTTTTCATGGTCACTTTCAGAATGTTGGTCATCGGAATGAAATTTCCAGAATTTTCGGCGTCTGACAATCCAGCGGCCGACAGTGACGACCTGCTGACGCGAACGTTGACGTTTCTGTATCTACCGGTATTTAATTTTATGATGCTGATGTATCCGTGGCAGCTGAGCTTCGACTGGTCCATGGATGCCATTCAATTAATCGAATCTTATTCCGATCCTAGAAACATTTTAACTCTCACATTTTATTCCTGTTTAATATTTACCCTGTACTACATTTTGAAAAATGTGAACGTCAAGAATGAACGAAGCTTGGTGTCAACGTGCAACGGGACCCAGCGTCATGCTTCGCTTCACGAACCAACCAGACATAAAACTTTCCATGTCACAAACGACAAGAACCATTTCAGTAATGGCGCGATAAAACCTTCACATCTCCATAATGATGCCGCCTCTAAGCAACGTTCGCCACAAAGTCATCCTGAAAACAGTGTAGATGGTCAGACGAGACAACGCAACCATTCAAATGTGTCTGGATGTGTGACGTTTTGTGATGTTGGTCACAAAACGAAGATACCTGTGGAACAACATGTTTATTTTGTAATGGCCTTGTCTCTTCTTATTTTTCCGTACATCCCTGCGTCCAACTTATTTTTCTACGTTGGGTTTGTTGTGGCAGAGAGAGTTCTCTACATGCCTAGCCTGGGATACTGCTTGTTGTTTGCCCTGATCGTTGAATATTTACTCCTTCTCGTCGAAAGAACTGCTGATCGTAAGCTCAGGTGGTCGTCCGTGGGTGAAAATGGTTGCTGCAAGGAAGAAGTTTTCCCCAGATGTCATTGTGGAAAAGATGTGAAGAAATCAAATCCACATAACAAAAAAAAGAAATGCTCATCAGCCTGGAGATGTTTCAAGAAAACATTTAAAAATCACCTAATATCATTCGTCAATCTTCTCCCTCAAAGCAACTTCAATTTAAAGTTAGCTATGATTAGTAAACCATTCCGATACGCTAAACATTTAAAAAAAATTTAATTTCCAGAAAAATGATAATTTATGCGTTTGTGCTTACAATGTTGGCGACATTTTGCTTGAAGACTTTGAAGAGGAATGAAGATTGGTTGACAGAAGAAGCCTTATACAGAGCGGGCATTCAAGTCAATCCCGCCAAAGGTAAACAAACTTTTAAACGCTGATTTACAATCAAGCGTTTTAACGTCGGTGAGAAATTTATTTGCATACTTCCTGACTAAACATTTTAGCTTTGCATTTTTCAAAAGTCGTTAAGTGTTTTTCTTTCTCGATGTTTGAAAACGCTCCGCGAGGCACGTAGGAAGAGATTTACGCTCCTCCTCCTTGCAAGTAATGCTCTGAAGTAATTAAAATTCTTAGAATAACAAAAGTTATACGATTGAATCACATTATTCATTTTATCAGCAGAACCTCAAAAAAGTGCAAAAATAAAACATTTCACAAAATTTGTTTGCAGTAGGCCTAATTGCTTAAAAATATATTATCACAATAGCATAGAGTTGATGACGAGGACACGACACACAGAAACGATGACTGATGATAAGAGCGCCAACGAAATTGTTTACTGAAATGGAGATGCATATAGTTATGAGTGAAAGCGGATTCATGCATACCGCTGTGTGCGTCTGCATCAATTTGTCAATGTTTCGACAGCTTCGCTCATTATTGATGAAAATATACAAAAATTATTTGATGAGGCGCCAAATATTTCAAAACATTTAAAACATCGCGGTAGACTTGCGTTTGTTTCGTTGGCTAGCAACAGGAAGTAATTAACGAGGAGTTTACAAACAACAGTCAAGTTGAATTTTTATTTTAAGATATGAAATTAAGAAGGTTATATGACTTATTAAAAAACTTCAACAACAACAATTTAAAACAATTTTTTAAATGTATCTACGAGAATGTGTCTGTGAGTGCGTTGTGCACCCATTCGGCAATAGCACATCTACTCATACATACATACAAACAAACAACGATATGTTTGAATACACACGCGTACGCACATACACAAACATGTGTGTTTGTTGGTGTGTACCATGTGCGCATGATGCAAACAGATATATAATTTATGTGTTGGTGCACGTAGGACCAATATTTATCATTCAATTCCTAAGTGTGCAAACAAACTTAAATGCATCTTTTATTTTTGCTCGGGAATCGTTATAACTCTTCAGTTTATAAAAAATATGATCACATGTGCTAGTGTGATCTTATGACCGCACAGTTTCAAATTATTTTTTTACGCTATTCGTTGTAAATCGTATTTTACAAAATAAAAATTACATTTTGTTTCCATTGAAAAAAACACAATTTAAATTTTTAAAAATTATGCTTTATTTATATTTGAAAAATTTTTGTGGAAGTTTTAAATTATTTGAAAAAAAGCTGGCGTCTAAGGAGGCTCACAAAAAATGTTCAGCAGCTTCTAGAAATTTTTGTCATTTAATAACAGTTGTGAAATAGAAAAAGAATTTGCCATGAAAGGCACCTATATGAATAGCGACCTCTTGACAAGGAAGTTATAACAAAGAGCAGATAAATCACGTGTTTGCACCAATTCATCATTGAATTGTCAGATGGTGTCAATGAGTGTCATATGAATGTGACTATAAGATAGTGATGTTAGTGATGATGATGATGTGAGTGAGTTGATGATGTTGGTATCTACGGTGATGCTGCTAACGTAGGCTGACATTTTTAATCTTTGGTGTGCATTAATGAGTGCGATTTTCGTTTTAAATGTGAATATGCTGTCATTATCTCATCAAAGAAGATTAGTTGTAAAAAAAACTGAATATTCATATTGCATACAACAACCAAATAAAAAGTGAGTAAATAGTTATTTCATTTGTAACCTATATATTAGTTGTACATATTATGACTGGCTAGCTCAAGACATGCATTGATGGGAATGTTGAATTGAAATTGTTGTTCAAAACCATGAAGAAGGATCTAATTGGGCTATGTTCTTCATAACATCATCAGATAGTTTTCACTTTTCCAACTTTTTTTAGCGATGCAGTTCTAAAACTAACAAATTATTTCAAATTCAGTTACATAACCAAGTAATCGTAACTGGAATGAACAGAGAGGTAGGTGGGTAGACAGGTGACATTTGTAACACTACAGGTGTTATAAACAAAACATACCTGAGTTTCGTTCGTTAAACTCTGCAAACATACATTGTTTGAATTTTCCCATTACAAAGATTTTTTAACATTACATAAATATATACATATTTTATATATCCATATATATATATATATATATATATATATATATATATATATATATATATATATATATATATTGCCTATGGAGAAATTTTTATTCTTATGTGGGCCATGCTTATTGTTATGGTGATCTAATGTTTGATGGCGCTTTTGAATTTTTTTAACTAGCCCTAGATAAATGTTTGATAATATATATATATATATATATATATATATATATATAATTTTCTACAATTTTATTCTTGTCTGCATCCATATTTTTAATGATGTTAACATTTTCTTCTCCATATAACCTGAACAATATCATATTTTGGGCTTATTGATTCTCATCGCTTTTAGTTTTTTCAATCTTAAATTTGTTTTGGACATTGTCAGCGTTTTTATCTTCTTTTTCACTATGTCAGTCCAAGTAGTCTTCATCTCGTGTTGAAGCCCGTCTATTGACTTTTTTTTATCATTCAGACCTGTAACTAAGACCTTCTGTGTTCTCTACTTTTGTCATAATACATCTGACCTCTTTTTACTCGGTGATTTTTTTTTCTCAAAAACTTGATGTTTTTCTTTACCTTCCTTATGCTTGTTTACATTTTCCAAAACACGTAAACAACTATCGCAGGACCAAAAAAAACCTTCATCACATCGCCAATCAATTCTTCCGAGGCTTCTTAGAAGCACTTCACATGACTTGCACTTTTACAAACGGTGCTTCTTAAATTATCCTTTGAATGGACCACTTTATAGCACTCCAAACATTTGTCTTTTTGAGGAGGGTTGATTCTCTATCCTAGTCGAGAATTTACGCAAAAATTTTCAAACTAACGATTTTTAAATTGAACGGTAATGATTTTATTACTAATACGTTTATGTTTTAACAAATTAACCAATTCACAAAGTTAAATTAGTGAATTAATTCAATTCAATTTAACGTCCTAAAACTTCAAATGTCGTCCAAAACTAGCGTTTATAATAAAAAAAGATAAACACATGCAACAGCAGCAATTACAAATCAATTTAACAATGAAAGGTTTCGCTTGAGTTTTTTATTCAATTAAAAATTATTTTCTTTAATGGTAGTGACCATAACTTTTATTGCAATTATTTATAATGATATCTACTAACTTCATTAACTTCTGATAAGGTAGTCATTAAATTATCGACATTTTACACATTGAACATTATTAATTGATTGGGACAGCAGATTTTTATGTTCAACTTTTGAGCTCGTTGCCTCACAAACTTCCTGGAGAAATTAAGTTTATAAAAATATTTTTATATTCTTATACACGCGCACACATCCACATACACGCCACACAAACACACACACAAACAAACAAACAAAACACACACACTCACAAGCACACGCATACAAACACACAAACTCATATTCATTGTCTTTTTTCAATATTTAATTTCAGCTTGTCTACATGCCAAACTATCGCAACAAATATGCACTGTTCCATTTTAATTAAATTAATATGAAATATTTTTTTGAATATTCTGAATCTCAAAAACTTTACTTTGTCATAACATCAGCATTTGAACAATGAACAAACAATTGAATGATTAAAAATTTGATCACGTGACCAGCTTGGGGCAACCTCGCCAACGTTTTGAACGGCCAGGGACGAGCTGAAGAAGCAGAGAGAGCCTACAAGACGGCGCTGCTGCACCGGAGTAACATGGCCGACGTGCACTACAACCTGTTCGTATCAAACTTTTCCTATGTTTTAAAAAAATTTCAGTATTTGTTTGATTTCGAGTGTAACTTATTTATGTCTTAATTAGTAATATTTAATTTTACAATTTAATTTAAAACTTCAAATCGCAAATGATGACTTTCCTGGCACGTTTATTAAACTATGCAAAAATTCTGCGTCATATTCCAGTTGAACAGCAGGGCAACACGTTTTGAAACGAGCAACCGTCAGACTATAAAATAGGCAAAATTTCTTAGCATCGTGGAAAAACAACCAAACTTGATGAATCTATTCAAGAGAACATTCTAAAAAAGTACTGTTGTGTGAATTTGTTAGACATTAAGCACAATATCCTCCCCATTCAATCTGTGCATACATACAAATGTTGAGAAACACATTATTTGAAGAGACATACCTCGGCGTACATTATGTGTTAATTGTTTTTACGCATTGGAGGAATGTGGTTGCTAGCCATCTGTACGTTCCGTTATAAGCGTGGGGAGTGCGTAGGTTGTCGACATATTTGCGATGAGACGCAAATGAATACATATCTTCGTGTATGCACACACACAACACATACATACGTACATACACACACACACACACACAAACATACACACGTACGTGTTGTGCACATTCCAGTTTTATCCATATAATCCATTTGTTCCGGTCTCATTCCATTACACTTACAAAGGCTTGTTGCGTCATAAAAAGCAAGATTTATGACACGTTTAAAAAGAAGCTCGCTTTCTGCTGGCACATTATTTCGTTATATGAATAAGCATACGGAATACTGTAGATACGAGTTAACATTGATTTTGCTGCATCGCTTTTTGTTGAGGTTTATCCATCCTTTTATATACAGCAGCATATCGTTCAACATGGTTTCAATGTTTCTTCTTATGTACAGTAATTATATTGAATAATTTAAATTGTATCAGTAAAAAATGATTTTTCTACACCTAAAACAAATAAGAGTTTGATGTAATGTCTTTTTAAAATTTGTTAATTTTATTTTTGGTTTAAATAAAAAGATCATTTGAAACAACGGTTGGCAATCAACAGAACATATACTAGTTAAACTTTCATTTCATCTTAGTACTGTTCTGCAAAAACAACATGCAAATTCATTTTTGTATTGTTTGGAAGTCACGTGAAAATTGTAAATGGTACAACTATACAAACAGCAACAAGACAAGGCGTTGAATTCTGTTTGAAATAAATATTGGTCTGGTTGGACTGTCGAACCTTCAGCTGAGTGTAAACAGATTAGAAACTTGGTACGGTTTATATCCTTATTATTTCAAATTAATGCAACTTTTATAAAACTTTGAAAATATTTTAAAGATAAATACATTAACATAAACAATGTATCACGTTTATTCTTTGTACTCCATGAAAAAAAGTTGAATGAATAACAAAGTTTAGATTACGTTCGTTTGTTGAAACCTTCACTAACTACCTGCTGCTAATACAATATATAAAGAATCATTCAATGATTTTTGTTCTTGCTTTTTTTTCATTGAAATTCACAAAAAGTGGCAATTGTAATGAAAATTAATTCTAAGAAAGTTCGATGGATGGATGGATGGATGGATGGATGGATACAAGAGTGCTGCATTCTCTTGTTTTCTTTTTCTTGCTTCGTTTTGTTTGTATTTTTGCTATCCTTCCTTCTGTATATTGTTTTGTTTGTCTTGTTTCGTTTTGTTCCATTCATTTTGTTTCGTGTTGTTTTGTTAGGCGCGATGGCAGTTGATATGCACTGGCGGGCGGGCTGCAAGGCGAACGTGAGTGAAATATTGCCCGGTTTTCTTTCAAATTTCATTTTTCACTTTTGAATCAACAAAAAGATACTTTCCAAATGAATGAATAAATAAATGAATGGAGTGAGTGAGTTGGGTGAGTGAGTGAGTGAGTGAGTGAGTGAGTGAGTGAGTGAGTGAGTGAGTGAGTGAGTGAGTGAGTGAGTGAGTGAGTGAGTGAGTGAGTGAGTGAGTGAGTGAGTGAGTGAGTGAGTGAGTGAGTGTGTGATTAAACGAACGAACAAATAAATGACTGGATAAATAAAATAAATAATAGAATAATTAATAAAGGAATGTAATTGTCCAATTGTTAGTCACACTCTGTATTTTGTAACATTCAAACATTTTGTTCATTCAAATATTTTTCCTATTTTTACAAGATAATTTTATTTATAATAAAATTATTTTTTTCTAACAATTACAAAATATTTCTATTTCTGTAAAATAATACTCAAAATCCTTCAAAGCAGAAATGCATTTTCTCGTTTTCCGGTTCATCTGACAATGCAATTTTCAATTTTATGCTGCGTTGGACGGATGAAGACTTCAAAGAAATATTCATTCGGGGTACCTATGCGACGAACACCTTACATCTTCTTTTCATCATCCTCATCTTCATCTTTTTCTTCATCGTCATCATCAGTTTGCGATACCTTTCTTCTAAATTTCTTTTTTTTATACATAAAGAAAAAGTGCAGTGCAAGTTGCATCTAAATATATCATCATTTTCATCATCGTCATCGTCATCATTATCATCATTAGTATGTAAATGAGTTAAAAAACGAGTTGTTTATAGTTATTAGGATGTAATAACTATTATAATACTCATCGTATTAGTGTTAACCCGAAATCATCTTCATCTAATTAGTTGTACAATTTTTTTGAAATAGCATGGCCTCTCGTTTTTCGAAAGTGTCAACTGAAATAATTTGAATATATTTCAAAATATTCAGAAATATTTAGTAGAAATTATCACACTTTGTTTTATTAGAGGAATGTTAATGATCACGTGCAGTTAACCGCTTATTAAGCTTCTTATTATTATTATTATTAACCGCTTATTATTATGCTGGGACGTGAGCTTCTGTTCGTCGTGTGAGAAACATTGAATGAAAGTTAAAAAGATGAATGTTATTGGGGGCAAGTATGCAGTGTGCGCTGAATGCCCATTGCATAAATGTTCTGCACATCTTTCGATGCTTGTGCCCATGCATGAATGTTTTGTATGTTTGTATGCACCATCCATAAAAGTTTCTATGTTTGTACGTACCATGGAGGAATGTTTTGTATGTTTGTATGTACCATTCATGAATGTCCTGTATGTTTGGGGGTACCATCCATGAATTTTCTCTATGTTTGTATGCTCTGTGTTTGAATGTTTCGTATGTTTACAAGCTGTGTGTTTGAATGTTTGGTATGTTTTTAACTTACAACCATCTATGCACTGTGTTGGTATGGATGGCTGTAAGTTTGTTTGTATAAACAATTGTGTTTTAGAATGCATTTGTTTTTGTTGGTGTGTGGATAGATATTGGTGCTTGCTTTTCCATGGGGAAGAATTATACATACAAATAAACAAAGAACAAGACAGTTAGAAAGAATAAATAATAATAACAATGTTCATAATAATAATAATAACACTGATCGGTGCGGTGGTGTGTCTCGGTGAAGTACGTGGCACTGCTGTTGCAGTGACCGCATTCAATTGCAGAGAGATTCCAAACCATCACACGAAATGTGTGTGTTGCACTGTTTTACGTGAATATTTACAGGCATTGCGGGCTTCTTGTTGATGCAGTTTGTTTATTTATTCATTCATTCATTTATTCGTTCATCCATCTATCCATCATTTTATTCATTTATTTATTTCCATAAAACACAGAGGCATTTTGTACCAGGAACAGAAGCGGTACATGGAAGCAAAGAAAAGTTACGAGATGGCCATACAGTGCCGACCCAAGCTAACAAGTTTGTCTCACACAACCATTTATTTGAAAATTACTTTTTCTTAACCGAATTACAATTTGAAATGAATTAAAAATTTGTTTTCAATGGTAAATTGTATAGTTATCATTTGTAAAGTTTTGATCTATCAGTTTCAATTTTTGAAACGTTTTTGTTGATATTTAAAACCTTTAAAGATTTAAAGAACTTTTATAATGTTTGGAAATATTTCAACCTGATTGTACAAAAATTGTCCTCACTTTTGTTTAACATACTGGAAAAAATTATAAATAAACCGGATGGGATCTAAATTTTTTGCAGGTTTTATGTTAATCTATTTTATGTTCTAAGTTAATTATTTGATATTTATGTTGATTATTTAATATTTATGTTAGTTATTTGGTGTTTTATGTTAATTATTTGATGTTAATTTAACGCAAGGGCCAGTCCAGACTACTTTGAATGGAAAGGTGCAAAATTGAAAAAAAAAATTGACAATCTTTTTACTTTTATTTTGCTCATCTAGCAATTTTCTTAAAGTTTGCAATTTGAAACTGTGCTTTTTATTGTAATGTACAGCATCTAGAGCTAATTAAACATAAAATGCTGGATAACTTATCAAAAAATTACCAAATCCGCCACTTATTGAACGTTACTTGTTATCTGCGTTTCTGTGGCATGGCGACGTATAAATATTTATATTCATATTATTTATTATTTGGTCTGCTCTTTTGATGTTTTTTGTTTTAAATAAATTCAACTAACATGAACAGAATAATCCTAACACAAGTTTTGTTGAAATGTAAATTAAATCTTCCGAAGCAACCGAAGCCAAAACATGCAATCGTAGATGCCACATAATTGCGAACCTGTCGGCCTCTAAACGAAAAAAATGTTTGAGTATGAAGAAAAAAAAAGTTAGGCACCCGACTCTAGATTTCAATTTTCTGCTTAAACTAAATCTTTTTCAAGGTTGACATGTTTATGGAGATGATCAGCGTTGCGTGAAACGAGCTTTTTGATCACACATACTTTGTTGTTATTTTAAATTTGTTTTGTGATTTTTATTAGATATCTTTTCAACTTTTTCAAGTTTTTAAACATTTTAATATGCAATTTATTTAGTTAAACCAATTTTATTTGTTGATATTTCTATTATAATCATGAGTCAACGTATTCATGAATAACATTTGATGAAAATGAAAACTCAATCTCCACTTACTAATTCAAGTTCAAAGTTCTCGATGATGGTTTTATGAAATTTTTTGTGCATTCGGACTTGAGAGCTTCATAACATTTTTTATATGGATGTTTGTTGAATGTTATATATATATATATGTATATATATATATATATAATGTAGTGTTGATGTGATGGTTGCATTGGAATAGAGTGAAAATGACTGAGTGACTGGATGAGTGATTGAAAAATTGAGCGAATGTGTGAGTGTATGGAAATGAAGAAAAGGTGCAGGGCCTCCCAGAGTAAGGGGCACAAGAGGGGCACCCAGGGTCACAAAAATTGTGAGAACCACAAAACTAGGAACTGGGTAAATTAATCAAAAATGGGACAAATGTATATGACGAGAAATGTTTCAATGAAATTGTGTGGTGAGATTAAAAAAGGTCATCAACTTCACTTTCAGAGCCACAGCCTTCACCTACAACTTTCACAATAGATCTCTGGGTTTGTGTGTGTATAATAGGTAAGTGATTGATGAGAGAAATGAGTGTTTGTGAGTGAGTGAGTGAGTGAGCGATCAAACAAACAGATGAACATATTAATAAGTACGTGTTTGATATGTAGGATGGGAAGACGCAATGATTTTTTTTTCTTAGCGAGGACGTGTTGTTGATAATGTCCATTTCAACGTTCCTCATGCTTGCTAGATTGCTGGTCTTTATCTCATCATGAAACGTGAATCTGTAGCTGCTTGCCTATAAATATATATACATACAAATAAAATTATTATATATATATAATTTATTTAATATATATATATATATATATATATATATAATTTATTTACGCTTATTCATGTTTCATTAATAAATTTCAATGTGAAATGCAATATGCATGCATGTATGTATGTATGTATGTATGTATGTATGTATGTATGTATGTATGTATGTATGTATGTATGTATGTATGTATGTATGCATGTATGTATGTATAAACATAGATGTAACGTATTTAAAATATGTAAATGAATGCACCTTCTTGTCAAGAGGTACATGCCAAACTACCGCACGTGCCTAAATCTCTGAATTAGATTTTTCTGGAAAGAAGGTAAGGTGCCTGAGTTTGGAAATTTTGAAAAATAATGCAAGGATGACTTTGGTATTAAAAAAACAAAAACAACAACAGACAACAATGTTTGAATTTAAGTTTCAAAACTTTTAAAGTAAAGTAAATAAAGTAATGGAATATATATATATATATATATATATATATATATATATATATATATATATATATATATATATAAATAATGGGCTTAAAAGAAAGTTATATATGCCCATATCAAAATAGCATTAAAAGTCAACAAAAAGCTGTATATATATAATGTTCAAAATTAAAATAACACACACTGAAGAATTTTTGCAAGTTGATTTTGTTAACATTTAACTTAGGAATTCTGAAAAATTTGTATGGCTGAATTTTATTTGAAATAAAAATATTTCGTTGAAAATTCTTCTGATTGTACGTACGTCTGATAGAAGATGATTGATGCTGCCGAGTTTGAATGAATGCATGGGAGAGATGGATTAGTTGAATGAAGGAATGGATGGATGTATTGATGGATGGCTTGAGAACAAAACGCATCAGTGATTATTACTATTTTTCCCATAGAAATGAATTGATAAATCTCTATTTTTCTATTAATTATTTTTAAAAACTATTAAATTGATAAAATTAAATAAAGCCTTCCAGAAAAAATTCATTTCTTAACAATTAAAAAAGTGTTATTAATATTATTGTTATTATTATCATTATTAATATTGTTATTATTATTATATTATTAGATGGCTCTTGATTGTTTAATTTAGAAAATACATTACCAAGTTTACGATAGACTGAAATTAATTTCAATATTAATATATGTTAATGTGTTCTATAAGTTTTCAGCGTCAGTCGTGTCACTGCTCTCTTAGTTAGAGGATGGTTGGCCAATATCCAACGCGTTTGTATCGAAATGTGCGGAAAATTATGTTGGGTGCATGCGATTGCAATTTTTTCAATATTAGATACTTATTGCTAAGGAAGTAGAAAAAATTAACTCTTTACTGTGCCGAAATAAGCTGCTAGGTGACAACCGAATGTAGGAGAAATAAAAAATTATTTTTTTTTTCAGATGGTTTCATTTTCGATATTTTTCAAAAAATTAAAATATAATAAAATTAATATTTGGTATACTAATTCAAAATGATTGTTAACAAATTTTAATGATTAATTAATTATGAAATTAATTTTTATTCAAAGTGGCCCATTTAAATCTGGGCATCATTATGACGACTCTAGGAAAATTCAAGGAGGCTGAACAGGTGGGATACTGCTGCTGATGACGTTGGTGGTGTCGATGGTTTCTAAAAAATGATAACGATGATGAAGGTGATGAGAGTGTCGTTGTTCGTTCGTGAAGAAGATGATGATATATAGACAATTATTAATTCGAGTTTGTTCATACTGCTGCTTCCAACATAATTATGTTATGAATGATTGAGTGCGCGCTGTGAAGGGCCTTTCATAATGTTGAAGAGTTGTCATGGTGACCGACATTGTTGTTTCATGATGACCACACACGCACGCACACACACACACACACACGCACGCACGCACACATACCATCTTCTCTTTTTACATTATACTTCTGTACTACTTAGCAGCTTTCACTTTACTAGTCAACTACATATATTGATGATTCATGCATTAATGCATATTTGATCCCCGCTAATGTAAATGAAGTTTTTGGTCGGTTAATTATATGTTTCCTTCTATGTCCTATTAGAATCATTACATGGATCTATTACTATTTTACTTTTGATATTCTCCCCAACTGACCCACACAAACTTCTGATTTTTTTAAATATTTTAATTGCTTTGGTTTTATTTTTGATTGTAGCAAATCTTTTTTTACAATTTTGCTAAAAATTTTTATTTTCCTCTGCGTAGAATTAAAATACTCAAAACATTTTTTGGCGGTCTCACTCTTCCCCTATTTGGTCTTCTTCCTGGTACTCTGAACTATCATCCATCAACTGAAGCTGCTTTCAACTCTCCAGCTCGTTTAGTTGCTCGCGTTTCTCGTATCATCTTTCAGCTATCTCTATATCTTGTTTCCTTGCACTGGCTGCATACAAAAATGGAATATTTTTTTAAAATGTGCACATCACTGCATAAATCTAATTTACTTTATTTTTAACTATTCGTCATAAGTTCCAACTGAGCCTTTGCTAGATCCCTAAATAGATAAGTGTGACGAAAACGAAAATGTTGAAAGTATTCCAATGAAAATAATCTTTTCAAGACTACGTTTAAGTCACTTTAAAAATTGGCCACATGTCAAGAGAAACATTCACCATACGATGTGAATCACTTTAATTCAGCTCCGATAAACTTGCGACTTCTTACGTGTCGTTCCTCACTTCATATTTACTTATTTCCAATCTATATTTCCTGTCGCGAATTTTGTAAAATTTACATGTTCAACTCAAATGTGTGAAAGTATGAAGGATTTTGGTAAACGGTAATCGAGTCAGACAGATTCTTGCGTGTTAATTGCGGTGAGACAGGGCATTTCATTATTTATCCAATTTATATACTTATGTTTAATTTATCATTGATCGATCGATCGATCGATCGATCGATCGATCGATCGATCGATTGATTGATTGATTGATTGATTGATTGATTGATTGATTGATTGATTCATTCATTCATTCATTCATTCATTCATTCATTCATTCATTCATTCATTCATTCATTCATTCATTCATTCATTCATTCATTCATTCATTCATTCATTCATTCATTCATTCATTCATTCATTCATTCATTCATTCATTCATTGACTGACTGACTGATTGATTGATTGATTGATTGATTGATTGATTGATTGATTGATTGATTCATATTCAATCCTTTTCAGGTCTACAGACACTGCAGTGAGATTGACACGTACGGCCTGAAGGACCCCCGCCTGCACGAGCAGACGAAGATATCTGCCCTCTACAACCTCGGCAGACTGCTTGCCGACCAAGAGAGGCATCAGGTGAATAGGATGATGATGATGATGATGTGGTGATGATAACGACGATGATGAAGGCGATGATGATGTGGTGATTATGGTGAGCGTGATGGTGACGACGATGATGGTAATTTTTTACCAAAAATGATTAAAGACAATGACATCGTGATTATGTTAATTATAAGTGATAACGTTGATGTACTGTTAAATTGCGGAGTTAATAATATATAATGATATGATGATGATGATGACGACAAAAACCTTTTGGTAAAGTTGAATGAATGAATGAATGAATGAATGAATGAATGAATGAATGAATGAATGAATGAATGAATGAATGAATGAATGAATGAATGAATGAACGAACGAACGAATGAACGAATGAATGGGTGGGGTGGACGAATTAGATGAACTCGTTTGGAAATCTCTTCCAACGTAAGACGTTTGCGACCACACATGTTCCAGCCATCTTAAAATTCTTAATTAAACATCTATACCTGCTGATGAAAAAAATATTCATACGAGCTGCCATAACACAATTATTATTATCTAATTAACGTTCTTCAAGTTTTTCTTTTAATTTTTTTTCTAAATAAGTTTATCGCTGAAAATGTTTTTGCGATAATTGTTTTTTCGGCCAAATGTTTCAAATTTAAAATTTATTGTTCTGGAATGTGAGGTATAAAGAATGTAACAACTTATTAATTTAATTTGCTGGATGAGGTTATATTGTCAAATCTAACAATCATAATCCATATTTATCTTATGGTACAGATTTAACTGTTTGACGCAAATAGGCATCTAATATTCCCGATTCATGACCAGTAAAAATTTTTTTACAGTATAAAAAAATCACCATACAACATAGTTAACTCCACAATCCGGACTCATATTATCCCTACATTTTCCGGACTTATATTATCCCTACATTATTAGGCCTATCCAGTTTTTCTGCCTATGATTTCTAAATTCAAAACTAGTCCGCTATGTTTTTTAATTTTCAAATATAATTATCAAATATTCAAAATTTTCGGTAGCAGTTTTATTGACAGTAATTATTGTACGGTCATCATCGGAAAAATAAATTTAAAATAATAAATTCATGTAAAACTGCGATCTACATCAAGTTGATCATCATGCATCAACACTGAATTGCTACGAATTCACATCAACCAATCATCCCAAACATTTCGTCCATCATAAATTTTTTTTCAATTTTGTTTTCATCTGGCACTATTAACTGATCTTAAATAAATCGTCAGCAATCATCGTGGTTCATTTACTTCGTGCCTATGTTGAAACTGTTTCTGGTGCTTCAAAACCTTTGGGCAGTTAACATCCAGTGATTGGCAAATGATGGTAAAAAACAAAAATGTAATTTTTTTTAGAAGTTAGTGCAAGCGAATTCCTTTCCGAATAGTATCGTTGAAATGATAATTAAGGTCACGAGAACAATCCAATTGAATCATTGCTTTCAGTTGATAACACACTCAAGAAAATTAATTAGCAGTTTATTAATGTAGCGAGGGAATCAATAAAATGTTTGCAACCTTCTTGCAAGCAGAGTTATTTTATTCAACACAACATCTGGTGTATCTCAAAATGAAAAATCTAGTAAATAAACATCAGGTATAGTCAAATTTATGATTTTATACACACACACACACACACACACACACTTATATACAAACTTCTAATCACTACACTTATATACATAAACCTACATGCACGCAGACTTATACACACATACACATTTGTATACGCACACACACACACACACACACACACACACACACACACACACACACACACACACACACACACACTTGTAAACGCACATGCGAATACGCGCACACACGCGCACACACGTGCACACACGCGCAAATACAAACACAACCTCGAGTGTGCTGCTAATCTTGTTTGAACAAACATGTAATTACTTGTCTGCAATTTGTTGTCATACATGCTCCATGCATCATCCTTCCCGCCGTCTTTATAATCATCTTTTCACCATTTCCCCTTCCTCCTCCTCCTCCTCCTCATCATCATCCTCACCATCTCCATTAATCATTTCTTTTATTTTGGACGTCATCGTCTCATCGCAATCCACATCCACTCTCCCATCATCATCCTCACCATCACTATCAACCTGAGTATCATATACACATTCGTATCATCATCATCTTCTTCTTCATCACCATCGTCATCACCATTATGGTCATCGTTATTATTATTATTGATATTAAATGATATTAATTTTTCCTAACTCTAAATATCTATTAAATTGAATTATAATTTTTAACTTAATTTTAATAATAAATGCTGCAAAATGCCCATATTGCTTTAGAGATTTTGTTAAACTCGGAAGCCACTCCTGGCGTTGTACAAAATCTACTGCAAACAGTAACAATTACAATAATGCACGTTTACAAACAGGTGACAATATCATAATTTCTCCAAATTTACTGGCCGATAATTTAAATAATAATATTGCCGTTGATACTGATAACAATTTAACAACTTGTTGCTGTGGTAGACGATGTAAAGGGAGAAAAGGTTTGCGAATGCACCAACGATCATGCAAATCATTCAAGGACTTGCAAAATTTGAGAAAATCTCCAAATCTCCAGAAGCGGATTCCAAATTGACGTCATCTCCAATGCAACAGAAAGAATCTCCACCGCCGTCAACATCAACGTCACCGCCAACATCATCGCCACCGGCAAACAACATCACGAACAATACACCACTCCCAGGGATAAAACTACCCAGAACAACAACTCATTGGCTTGAAGCCAATGCATATTTCCACTCTCAAATAGCAACACTGCCAAACATTACTGACATCAATAACTTCACTACCACTCTACAAACACTAATATACAATTATTTCGCATCAAACTACGGCACTCTTAATCAAAAATCAAGCTCAATAACAACACTCGATAAACCAATCAACAAACTAAAGTCAGAATTGAAACAATTAAAGCTGCTAGGCCGTAACAACCACAATTTTGACGTCATATTAGATCAAAAACATCATCAGCAAAAGCGATAAAAGCTGAAAAAACAGTCAATATCACAAGCCAATTAAAACAAAAATTCTGGGCAACGTGTGAAAAATTACTAAATCCGACAACCGCTCTGTCACCACTGTTTAGCGTCGAAGAAGCTAACAAATTTTTCAACAAAATTTTAAAAGACCCATTTCACAATAAATATCGCCTTCCAAATTGGATCGAACCTCTAACGATCCCTTCAATTGCCTGCAATACCAATCCTCCTACGTACAATGAAATATTCTCAATAATCAAGAAATGCAAGTCGAAAGCATCTCCTTGTCCTCTAGATCTAATGTCAATAATAATTCTCAAAAAATGTCCCATACTTCGCACAATCCTTCATCTATTACTGGTTGAGTGTTGGAGAACGTCGTCGATCCCTACATGCTGGAGAAAAGGGTTGACTATACTGATCTACAAAAAGGGAAACGCCAACGACCCAGCGAATTTCAGGCCAATAACACTTCAACCAGTATTCTATAAAATTTTCTCAACATTTGTAAACAATATAATATACAAATATTTAGATTCAAACAACTTCATTAATAAAAACATCCAAAAAGGCTTCTACCCCAAAGTTGACGGTGTAGCTGAACACACGCAACTACTATCTCACCTTCTAAAGGACGCCAAGAGACA